ATTTTGTTTTGCTTCTTTATTATTGACAAAACATTTTCTTTGCATGCAAAAAAAAAACATGGAAGAAAATTCACCCCAGAGGCCTGCAGCCCTAACATGACGAAATATGAAACACTCAAAGGATATGAAAAGCTCAAAATAACAGGTTAGTTTAGGTCTAAAAAAAGGTGGTGAGATGCTTCAACTACATGACAGATACTGCATTTAGAGGTGTGTGCTTCTGACTAAGACATACAAGAAGCTCAACATCCAGAGAATTTAAATGTTTTCTTTTCCTGGGACGCCTCATTCTGATGAACATAATAATCATGAATGCCGAGAACATGGGTTGTGCCCCTAAAAAGGCATGACACATTTTGAAACATGTGAACTGATGAAATCAATGAGATATATGTGAATTAAGCAGTAGGATGACACTTGGAGTGTCTTTGTACTCGGGGCATTGTCATCCTGATACGCCCTCTTGTGAAATATCATTGCATAAATTGCTGCGTTTCTTCATGAAACACACATAAATAATGCATTTAATTAAATCTCTCCTGATGGGAAAACTTATTCTGAATGTGATTCCAGAGAATTCATGAATAGGTTGGTGGAAGAGGCCAGAAGATAACGTCACTGTGTCATCTCTTGCAACACCACAGTTAGGAAAGGGTTGAGAGCTTTGGCAACAGAGAAAACTGATCCTGTAAATGTTAGAAACCAGCCAATGTTTTCTGAATGCATCAAGTTTGATGAGGTGAAGCTGCATTTTAAAAAAGATGATTTATTGTTGGATTAATAAAATTATGTTGATTAAATTCAACCTTGTGACGACCTGACCTTGCCTACAGGTGTATATGTAAAGTTAACAATCAGTAAAAAGAGTGTAAATAGCTTAAAGTAAGAGTTTAAAGAGTAGTACCTGGTTATCTAATTGATTCATTGATCCCAGGGTGATGTTACTGAACCTTTAAATTCTGGTAATTTTGATGATTACACCTTTCAGCTAATTAACCCTAAACTTTGTTTCTCTAATAATGACAATAAGGCACCAGAATAAGACAAAAAAAAATGAACAAAAATGGTTAAAGAATAAGTCTGGCCAGCCAGACTGACCCACACACTGGACACAGCCTCGTCATTCATGTCAGTCAGTCTGGCTGCAGGTGGATGGGACAAACTTCTAAAAAAATAAATAAAAAAAAGCCAGGTCAAACATTGGTCTATAATCTCAAATTATGAGCAGTAGTTGGATTCTTACAGATTGTATCGGGTGGACAGGTGTCTTTATGAAGCTAACGACCTCAAACAGGTGCATCTAATTTAGGAAAATAAATAAAGTGGAGGTGGACATTTTGGAGGCAGACTAACGGGTCTTGGAGGGTCAGAACTCTAGTTTATAGACAGAAGTGGTTTATGTACAAAAAAATAGTTTAAAAATCATATACACGCATATATATACATATATATATATATATATATATATATATATATATACATATATATACATATACATATACACACACATTCATATACATATATAAACATACATATACACACATTCATAAATACGTACACATACACACATATACACACATGCATACACACATACATACATATACACACATATATAAACATACATATATACAAATATATTACATATATATATATATATATACATACACATATAAACACATATGGCAATCAGTGGCAACTTTCCATTAAATACTGGGGAGGGTAAACTTCCCATTTGAATTTTGTACATTAATTGTTTAAATATTTATTGAAACTTTGTTGTCAATACACTGCATTAAATATGGTCCTAAATGCACCTGATTTCATGAGTTTGTTGCGCATTAATCAGATGTTTATTCCGTTCTCTAAAGTGATCTCCTATGCTCTTTAGCAGCAGGATGCTGCCTCTCAGGCTCCATAAGAAATGCCTGTTGAGGTAAGCAGCGAGAAAGTAGAGCCCTGATTGGATAGCAAGGCAAAAAAAAAAGCCACTTCCAGTGAGGCTAAACCTTTGAGGGGTCTATGTAGCAGGAGCGGGTCATGAAGCTGGCTTCTCATAAGGATTTTTGACTGACGATGGCCAGACAGCGAGGAGGTTTTTCTCATGAGTCATGAGGGATTTCTTAGGGTAGTGACTGAAAAAGGGATCCTGGCAAAATGTATTTATATTTATTATCTATTCCAGTGTGATAAATAGGGTAAATATGAACCATCACCTGGGACCCATCTTAATGCAATCATTGGTTTTGTGAAAAGTTATTTCAAGTGTCTCCAGTTCATTTTTATCATTAACCTGCCTATTGTTAATTCATTTTTATCCTCAGACCAACTTTCCTAAGAAGCTTTATACACTGTATAAACTTGCATCATCTGAGCTTTAACTATTAGGTAAAGAACATGCCCATGAATATTTTTTTTTTTTAGAATTTTATGACATATTTTCTGCTTTAAAAGCCTTTTATAACTTTTATCGTCATGTATAATAAATGTTTTAAGTTGTGAAACTCTCTCATAGCAAGTCCAAAGACATTTTCTGGTTGTGAAGGTAATTTTGGTCTAAAATCCCAGAACACTTTGATTTTCCTTAGGCTCAAACAGTCATTGATTTGTTACTGGATCCCTGTTATTATAAGCTATGCTGATTTTCTGCTGTAGCTTCATACGTTTACAGCCTTTTCTTCTATAGCTGCTGAATCATACTAAAGGTTGTTGGATTTGGTTTCTTTTCTAATGTGTTCCTAAAAGCTTCATCCAGCAGTTATTGCATAATAATTTGTTTTAGTGCAGTTTGATCCTCCTCCTCTTTGTGTTAATATTCCTGATGTTCTAATTGTTCAGCTGGCTGCATAGTGATCAGCTTTTCTCAGGACTCCTTTTATCCTATCTTACACCACAGCCCCATCTACTGGGCCATAACCACTTCCTTCTATATCTCAGTGATAAATTAAGCCTTTTAAATCCCCAGATTATGTTTCCAGAGAATATTTTTGTGTTTAGATTAAAAAAGATGAAATAGGAGCAAAGACAATTGTTTGTTCCTATTATTCAGTCTCCCATTCTGTGCATCAGGCCACTAAAGGCCTGGTTGGAGCTACAACTTTCTCCATCTATATCTGGAAAACCATTTAAAAACTCCTTTCATGTTAGAAGTCTGCCGTTTACATTAATTCTAATAAAAATCAAATAGTCTTGTCATTTTAATGTGAGCCAACAGAAAAATATCAAAATAAATGCATCTGTTCCGTTTACTGTACAATTTTTTTAAATTTTGATTTGATACTTTTGGCTTGTTGACATGCAACTTTCAGAACATTTTTGTGGCTGCTGCTAATAAATCAATGCAAAGCGAGCAGAACATTGAATGCATCGTTATCTTTCACACATATAAAGCAAACAGACGCCATGTTAGGTCAGATCAAAATAGTTTGCATTTATTTCTGTCCAAAAACATTGAAAGTGACAATTTGGTAGAAAAGGGGTTGAAACTAATTTGCAACTCTGGAAAACACACAAAAAACCAGCAATGGGTAGACTGTTGCATGAGACTGGTTCCCATATAAAAATGGCACACAGCAACATTTGCACAGAAACTGAATAGCGGGATGAGAACACATCTGATTTGATCCTTTTCTGAATCCCAGAATGAATCCATCAATAAAAAAAGATCAGATTTTAACATATAGTGTTATGAAAAATTGGATAAAATCTCATTTTCTAATGATAATCTATGAAGAACCATGACCCATTATTTGTTTCAAAAGGCATTAAAATTCTCACACATTATCCAAACCACTGATTTCTACAACACAATTTTTTTCTTTTTTTGTCTTAACTGAAGGTGCAAACTTTGTCCAACACGACCCACACGCCATGCATTCTTTCACCACAACAACACATAAAACAATTACCTATTTAACCTCAACAAGGCACCGCCTTAATCCTGCAGAAAAGAAAAACGTGACAAATCGCACAAAGGGCCGATGCCGCCGACTGCAAAAAAAAATCAGCTGCCTCAAAGTTTAAAGCGCAATAAATGAAATAAAAAAGGTGGATTTTAAGAGCTCAAGATAAAACATTAGAATAATTATAAAGATTTAACACTTTGAAAGGAGTTTGAGGCACCAACAACTAAAGAGCCCATGGGCAACTTTAGATTAGCAATTTAACATGTAACAATCAATCTGAAAAAAAAATTTAACATCGGAAGCATGAAGTAATAAAATTCACACTTAATACAAAAAATACAACTCTTTGTAATTCCTACCTTATTTCCACCTCATTTTTTTTAAACATTAGCCTATAAAATAGTTGCACATATATGGTGGTTAAAATAGGTGGAAATATGTTATTAAGGAGGGGAAAACATTGGAAATTATAAATATGCACAGAATAAGGTAGACATTTTCAAAATAAAGTCCCTAAATGATTTAACAACATTTATCAGCATCTTTTCCCCCACTAAACCCTTTTCCAGAACAAACAAACAAAACAGAAATAAATACATTAACACAGACTGAAGTCCAACGCTGAAGAAAGCAAAAATAAAACAAATTAAACAGGTTAGCTTACATAACTTAAAAAAGATTTTATGTACAAAATTGCATGAGAAAAATGTATATATCCAAGTATCAACATGGAAAATGTCTTATTGCTGGTCAGAACTGAAAGCCTAGTTTCTCAAACCTCTGCAGCTTAAAAAAAGCTGCAGTTTGATAAACCAAAGCAAAAAAACAAAACAAGAATGAAGGGATCATTCAGAGAGAAGAGGAAAACTTACTACCTGATAGATAACGATTTAAGGCATGATCAATAAGTATCTGAGTGCATATACTGAAAAACAACAGTATGTCCCCATGTCCTGCTGAATCCTGCGCCTCATGTTTCCTAAAGGCAACACCTGCAGCAACGCTTTGTTTCACCCAGAACGACCAACAAACCCACCCTGAGCGCCGATTAAAGCTCGGTGTCTGCTGGGCGGCTTCATCCCACAGGCATGTGGTGAATTTCTAACATCCAAACTCTTGCTTATAAAAACAACGAAAAAACACACCAGCAGAAAGATTACCTAGAACCTACATAAAACCCATCTGGAACACAATTAAGACTTCACTCTGCTCCGCTCACCTGAGACTACGGCTGAACACCTGGTGGGTGAGGGCGATCAGTGCAGCTGCAGCAGCCAGATCTGTGGACTAACCTCTAAGTGCTGATGGAATAGAAGAACTTTGATCTAACCTTTTAAAGCAAAAGCATAATCCAACTAAATTAAATATAAAAAAAAAAAAAACAGGTCAGCGATTTTAGTGCATTTATTGTAGGAAAAAGGCCAATTAACGGTTTTGAAGTAATCTCAATAAGCACGTTGTATTTCACTTATACTAGTCCCCTAAAGTTGATCAGATTTAGAAGAGCTGCCAGTTAGCAACAGATGACTCTCCGTTTCCATGGCTACAAGGATGGATGACCCTGCTGCTGATGAGAGAAAGTCTCACCGATTCTCTCTACCGGATCAAAATGTTGCATCTTAGGCTCTCAGGGTTTCAGTGTCAATGATTAAACTCTATTTAACCAACTGTTGGGTAAGGATGCCGGAGAGAAAACCGCCTCAGTCCCACCGTCACAAACGTAAACTTTATCTGGGATGTGTTGCTTTGCTCAGATGAGACTAAAGCTGCTTTAAAAATCCCGGTTCTTCAGTGAACCACTTGTTCATCGACCTGTGCAGGGATGCGGGTGTTTTAGCAGCTGGGATTACTAAACCTCCACCTGGATGAAATCATTTCCAATTTAAGGTCGACATTCTCAGCATTTCATCTGCATCGGATTCTGCTCATGAGCACATTTCTCAGGACATATGGACACCGAAGCCTCATTTGGGCGGTTCGGCGCACTAAAGGTCACCATGAACAGGCGCAGGGATGGGTTCTATGGCCAGACCTGCATCCATTAGATGAATAAGAAGACAGATAAAAACGCGTACCGACAACCACTCTGTTGGTCTTTAAACCAGTTTTAAAACTAAAATAAGAAAGTTTGAGATTATGCTGCTGGAATAAAAGATGAATCTATTATTTTCCCACATCTCTTAGTTCAAAGGTGCTATTAAGCCGGTCTGAATGGGTCATCACTACAGGCTGCCACATAATTGCGCGTTCTTGGCTCCGCCGACGTTCACGTTCACCCCAAGCCGAACGAAAAGAGCCAAAACATCGTTTATAACACAGCTGACGTGCTAATTTCACCGCCACTTTCTGCGCCGCAAATTAGCTTTTCCTTCTCCACTGAAGACGCCATGGCGGAAGGTAAACATAGGAAAAAAGAAAGGCTCCCATCACAGAATACGCCCAACTCTAAAGCCTTCAGTTTCCCCAAACACACCGTAAAAACAAGCATAATTTCTCCCTTAAAACCAGCTAGTTGACCTTCACTGAGGTCCAATGGTTGCAGTCGAAGTAGCTGATTGGTCTAATGGTTTGACAAACCTTAGAAATAATCCAGTTTTTCAGGATTCCAGTGCCTGGGAGAAACATCCATGCTGTAATTACCTTCTGCTAGATGAAGAAAATAAAAATAAAGCTTCCCGTTCTGACAGAAAATCCTGCAGAACGCTGGGAAGCTTTCAAAAAGCAAGTCGCTCTAACGTCCCTGACAGTTCATACTTATTCCAGATTCAGCAAAAACTGCAAACTAATCATCAGTAATGGGGAAACTTAAGGTGACGCTGCTGCAACTCACCCACCCCCCACAGGCTACTTGGACAACACAACATCTAAAAAAAAAAAAAAACTTGGTACGAAATATCAAAATAAACATAAATAATTTAAATAGCTATACTAAAGCTAAAATCTTGGTCTAAATAAAAAGAAAAACAGTCACAGAGAAGTGCTTATATTGTTATGTACAATTAAGGGCAATCATTTTGAGATTTGGTAACCAGGACGCGGATTACTCGATTTCCCGCAGCAAAAATAAAACAAAGCCGATGGTGCCGTGAAGCGTTGGTTCACAGCTCTCCTTCAGAGGAAACATTAAGTCCTACGTTGGAAAAGATTGAAGTTTATCCACTTCCTCTCGTTCTTTCTCTACCCGTCCCCCAAAACGTGCGACAAGTCACCAAAGTCACAATCGAAGAGTTCACTGATTCCTTCGTGGTCCTCCAGCCCAAAGTGGTAGTCGTGGTTCTGGGGGGGAGACAGGTTGATGAAGCCGTCCAACGGGAGAGGAAGGCCTTCTCCGTTCAGGAGGTCCGAGGACGACAGGGGCGACAGGTCAAAGTCCCCGATGTCCCCCAGGCTGGAGAACGGATCTCCTCCCAGGAGCGACTCTGTTCACCAAAACAGAGAAGTGAAAAAAACGAAAAAGCTACAGAACCACAAAACATGCTGCTGCAGTTTTCTACAACCAGAGACATAATTATAGAAAATAAAATATAATCAAACAGGATTTTAAACATAGTAGCTTAACTCCCATCAACACAGCCTGTAATAAACTATTAAAATAGTTTATTGCAGGATGATGATCTTATTTAAATAAAAGCTGAATCCTGTGGAAGGCAGCAGTGATGAAGGTCCAGGAGGACGTCTGCTTCTCCTGCAGCTCGCCTTTACCGTTTGCTGTGACTCATTAAACCGAACGCCAGGCAGCAGCGCCGCTTGATGGCACCTTTTCCTTTCAATGCAAGAAACAGGTTTCATCTTTGCCAAATTAACGGTTTTTGTGCCGTTTTTAAGAATAAAGGACCTTTTTTCAGCCCATCAGTCACATTTCTGTTCTGATTGATTTAGTTGCACTTTCCATATTTCAAAGAAATGAATAACTGTGGATGTGGACGCATTATTCCCAAATATTTTCAAGATCAATGAAAAAAAACAAACAAATGTGGCCATTTTTTACTCTGCTGCTCAATCTCTGCTTTTTCTGTAAACCGTTTGGTTTTTTTACTTTCACATGAAAAGAACACATTTTGATCTTTGATCAGCTTCCTGAGGAAAAGCTACTCCACAGCATGATGCTGCCACCACCATGGTTCCCTATGGGGATGGATGATTCATTTTACTTTATCTGAGAAAAGCATCACCCTTCACCGTTTTTTTTCTCCTTTAATAAAGATCAGATTTGTAGAGAAATGAAATATATTTTTCTAATCAACACAGCTGAGGGGCTGATGCTATTGGTTAATACCCTTTTACCTCACTTCAAATCATTACAAAATTGCTGCTCTGCTGCTTAGATCAAATTACAGGAAAGAAGACTTTAAGCTAATTCAGTGTTTTCGCTTCAGGTATCTGATCGTGGCTCAACGCAATTAACGAATGACAATCAATACCTTAAAACAATGTTTTTTTGTTTGTTTTTTGCGGCACTACTAGCTCGTTTTTTGGATAGTAGGCTGTAAGAAAATGGGGTATGAAAGAGGGGGAGAGAAATGCAGCAAAGGACCACAGGTCGGATTTCTTAACCTGGGTCGGCCATATCGAGGAGTACGTCCTGTCCGGCTGTGTGCGCTAACCACTGCTCCACCGAAGCACGCCGCGTTAAAACAATGTTAATCACATGATACAGCAGACTGTATATTTGAGCACATACTCTAATCATAAACAGCTATTAGCTTTAAAGTCATATGGAAGCAGCCGTTCCAACCGCTGCATTTCTGAATTCTCCCGAGTGGTGCACAACTTTACACTAGCGAATAAAATAAATTGGTTGTTTATCATGGGATTGTTGTGGCGGAAGGTCAATTAGTTATCCGTCAGCTTGTACACATAAATTCTGCCAATCATATATCAACGGTCATCTGTCAATCAAATTTTTTCGGTCATAGCATATTGATTCATATGTCGCAGCTAATATACGCAACGGATCTAAGAAATGAGAATCATTTCCTTTCCCATTGAGTTCCGTCTCAGTGTTTCACAGGGATGGACGTCTGTGTCTGCAGCAGGTGTAGAGCTAACAGAACTGTCAGCGTTGCGAGGCAAGGGCTCAAACATGTACGGCTGTAAGCCTTCTACACCAAACCAAGCTTCTGCCGCACTGGCGTCCTCTTCCACAACAACTTTGTCCCGCTTTCCTTCACTAAATAAAAAATGTATGACAGATGAGACTCATCCATGACCTCCTACACTAAACTCTCCTCCTCTTGCATGTTTCCTTGACAGTGTCGTTTCTAAGTCACCAACTTAGTGCTACTTGGTCCCAATGGAATTTCCCATTGGGAACCTACTAGCACTAAGTTGCTAACCGGTTAGCAAGATGCTTCAAAGAAACCGGCACAATAAAACTTGCTTCTAAACCTTCCCTGCAACAATCCTGCCCTCTTGATAATCAACCAATCACATTTGCTCTATTCACTCGTGTAAAGTCGGGCACTACTCGGGAGAATTCAGAAAAGCAACAGTTGGAACAGCCGCTTCTCTACAACTTCAAATATTTTCTTTCCTATACTAATATATAGTATTAGAGTTCATAATGTTTTTTACTTCTGCATTTGGTTCTCATCCCTGAGCTTCCCTCTGTCCCCCTCAGCAGCGTTCCTCTGAGCACTCACCTGTGTCCCCACCCAACGTCAGCGTCGACGTCTCCTGCTGCGATGCCGCCGTTACCGTAGATGAGGTGGACGCCGGAGATGATAAGCCCACCTCCAGAGCTGCTGCGGAACACTGGGGGAGTAGCTGCTCTGCAGCTTGTGAGGGGGGCGGGACGAGGGACGGGTCGGCGTTGCCTTGTGTAGGACTACCTCCTGTCACGGGGCTGCACACACCTGAGCTGTCTTCTGGACAGAGGAAGACGTCTATTGGACCCTGTGTGCTCTTGAGGGACACCTGGTAGCCCTGAAGAAGACAGACAGACGGAGGAGCGCCGTTAGATCGGGGGGAGCACGCCTCAAAGGGCAGAGAGAGAGAGAGAGAGAGCCAATTCCACCGCCCTCACCTCACTGGGCTCTGTTACTTGCATCTGCGTTTCGGGGGGAGCTCTGATCACCATAACCAGCTGGTCTGGGGAGTCAAAGGACTTCCTCAGGTCCTGACAGCGCACGTAACCCAGCGTGCTGAACGCAGCTGTTAAAGAACAAAAACTTCCCTCTACAGTTTGAGGTACTTCTGTTTAGATCGGAGAATAAAAACAACCGAATAAAGCTTCACATCTTCTGCTCAGCATAATCTTTTCCCTTTTTAGCATCACGTTTCAACCACACACCTCCATGTCGGGTATGGGGATGGAAGGGTCATGATGTGGGGATGTTTTTCATCAGTAATTACAGGAATATAAACAGTCTAAATTAGTTGCTAATTTTCACTTTTGAGGAGTAAAATTGACAGAAAGTGACGAAGGCACGTCCATGAATCGGATTGGCCTAGTCAAAGCCCAGACCTAAATCTAAACAGGTCCATTTACGGCCATGGTAGACCAGAAAACTTCTGCGTTATTTTTTATTTGTATTCGTCCATCACATAAAATCCAAACGTTTCACATAACAGAGTTTGTTTTTGTAGTTTCAGGATCAAATTTAGAAAAGTAGAAAGAATATTTATTTATCTAAGGCTACGTTCACACTGCAGGCCTTGATGCTTAATTCAGATTTTTTTGAGGTTGCCGTTCACATTTCCAAATATATGCGACTTCTGTGATCTCCTGTGTGAACTGCAGCCATACAAAGCAAGTGTCCCGCATTCGTTGTAGAGGACGCAATGACATCACAGGCCAGAGTGCTCCGTTTTTGCGGATGTAAACATGCCTGGTAGTACCGGCGCGCATCTGCGGTCTTTTCCAAACCATAAAAACTCAATCTTTTCAAGATGGTTAAACATAAATACTGCTCTCCGCATCATCGTCTGCCATAGTTGTTGTTTTTCTTGCCGCTTCTGCGTATCAAGACGCATAATAGTGACGTTTGTCGGGTATTGATGACAGATTCAGGAACACATAGCGAAGTGATCTGGGTTGTATTGGAAAAAAATCTGATTTGTGTTGTTCAGACAGCCACGAAAAAATGAGATACAGGTCCCAAAAAGATCAGATTTGGGTCTAAGGCTACGTTCACACTAAAGTGACCCAAATCCGATTTTTTTGCCCATATGCGACCTGGATCTGATCTTTTCATGGCTGGCTGAACAACACAGATCTGATTTTTTTCCAATCCGACCCAGGCCACTTGGCTATGTGGTCCTGAATCCGATACGAATCTGATCTTTTCAAACGCGACCTGTGTCTGAACGGCCGGGTTGGAAATTATCCAACCTGAACGTCATCAATACCCAACAAACGTCACTATTCTGCGTCTTGCTATGCAGAAGCGGCAAGAAAACCAACAACCATGGGAGATGATGATGCGGAGAGTAGTATTTATGTTTAACCATATTGAAAAGATTGAGTTTTAATGGTTGTGAAAAGACCACTAGATGCGCGCCGCCACTACTAGCCATGTTTACTTCCGAGAAAAGTAAATATGGCCTGTGATGTCATTGCATCCTCTACTGCGCATGCGGGACACTTGCGTGGTAGGACTGCAGTTCACACAGGAGATCACAGAAGTCGCATATATTTGGAAATATGAACGGCAACGCAAAAATATCGGATTTCGCAAAAAAAAAAAAAAAAATCGGAATTGGGCATTAAGGCCTGCAGTGTGAACCTAGCCTAAATGTCCCTCTAAGCTACGAAGCTGCTGTTCCTTTAGCAAACGAGGTCCGGTTCAAAGGATATTTCTTGTTCAGCGGGTCGTCCGTTAGAAGCCGGAGCTGCAGGGTGCATTTAGAAATAAGTTCATCCAATTGCTCCTCAGCCTTTGTGAGGTCGCACACTTCCTTCTGCAGCTCCTTGTGCCGGGAAACCAGGTTGGCATCAATTCGATTGCCACTGCAGAAGGTCACACAGATTAGAGATTAACTGTGGGAGGCTGTTTTCAGGAGCACTATCTAATCAAACTTTGATCTATACCAATGTTTTCTGGCGTTAATACCCACAGCCATTGGATGTTGTTCTTGGATTTCTTGGAGATGAGCTGGATTCCCTCCAGGACGTTTGTGATATCGTAGATGCGTCTCTTCTGGACATCCAACACCTGAGAGGCCCAGTTCAGGTCCACCACGCCGTCGGCTGACTGGGACAGCAGGTCCAGGAACCGCTTGGTGGTCAGGTTTAAGGACGTGTCGTAGCGGGACTTTTCCGTCGAGTTTCGAGGAACTGCCCAGAAAAATTAAAGATAAAAACTGTTCTTTATTTTTAGATTTGGGACGTTTATTTAACTGATCGTCTGCAACCGGACAAACTTTCTTAGAGCTTCTGCTTCTTTAGTTTCAGAATCCTCATCAAAACTTTTACCATTTCATCTTTTTTTATATGAAAACTTTAAACATCTGCCTGATCAGGTTATTCCTAAACACTGAGCAAAGTCTAATTAGGATGAAGACAGATAAGGATGCTAATGCTTGTAAGCCTGAATTACATTTATATTCATTATGTTTCGATGCCTCTAAGGAAAAGCTCAGGAGGGAGGATCCACCTACAGGTCAACTAGCCATGAAATTCCCAAATCTGGGCTTCATGGAGGAGAGGAAAACCAAAACCTGTGTTGCTGACAGAGGAGGAGGAGAACACGCCTGATTCAGATGAAACATTATAGCCTACAATGAAAACAATGGGTGCCCCAGCAAAGAGAAGTCTGGGTGTCTCTGCTGAGACGTTTCCAAAAAGCCAAAACATCACGTAAAGAAATCCCTTTCATGAACCGTGTGACTTCACCGTGGCGTTAAAACTAAGCAGGAGGGAATATAAATGGAAAATTATTAGTAGATATTTCAGGACCCCAGATGTTGTTGCCAAGATGGATCCTAGAGTACCGAGCTTGTGTTGGAGAAACTGTGGCTCAGCGGTCCCCAATCATACACATATATTTTTTGGTCATGTCCCAAACTTTAAAACTTTTGGGATGAGGTGTACAGGAAACCAGATCTTCATGGAGATTATACCAAGGGATCTTACTGTTGCGGTATTTGGTATTATACCGGAGAGTTTGCAAGGATGTGCCAAAACTTATATGTTGAATGTTCTTTTTACAGCAGCCCTGAAATGCATTACAATCAGGTGGATGCAGTTGGAGCCTCCTTCCTATGACTTATGGGTACAAAAAGTAAGAGAAACGTACAAAATGGAAAAGATAACCTACTCATTAAGACTTAAAAAAAACACTTAGCCTGAGCTGGAGGCCAGCAGAAGCTATGTTGATGTAAATAAGCCCAACAAGTTTGTCTCTTGGCATATGGTGTTTAGCTATTCCGCCCAAAGTGTATCCTTATTTTAGGGTTTCAGGATGATGAGCCTACAAATTTGAGGCTGAGATCCTAAAATATCGAGCTAAGATGTTCCTTTTATGGAAAACTGTATATTGTCAACTTTTGTGTTATGTACCATTGTTGTGTGGCTGTACAATTGCTCTGCAAAAAAAAAAAAAACAAAAGTATAAGTTCTAAAAAAAAACTAAGCAGGAGCTGTTAATGTGATCAGCTCAGTCATTTCCATGCTGGTGGAAGAGTCAGTTATAGTGAATCAGCCTCACAGTCCAACAGTCTGTGAGGAAACAGAGGAAGAGCGCCTCATTACTTCTGACTGGGACTGTAGAAGCTTCCTGTTTGGCATGAAGGAAACAGCCAATTAGAAATTAACAATTAACCTCAGAAGAGTAAAGAAGGAGCATTGTTGAAGCTACCAATAGAATTCTGGCCTCATGGAGGAGGAAACAATTCCTCCATGGCTCCATGAAGCAGACTGAGCCACAGTCCCTCCAAAGGAATCGAGTGCAAAGGAGGAGACTTAATTTAGACCTGCGACTGAATGACTCTAGATTTGACCTGGATTCGTCACATTTGATTCTCTAATCAGAAGTTTAAGCTGTTTAATCTTCTGATTGCAGCTCTGACAGGTGAAGCACAGGATGTGGTTTTATGCTCAGGCGAGGTTTCCAGACCATTGGTTCATATCAACCTGCTATGGTTAGCTGTAGCTTGATGATAACGACCGCATAGATCTCTAACTAAATGCCACATTAAACCTATTTGCGTGATTTCTGAAAATTTATTTTTATATGCATCACATCTTATTGTCGTCATGTCAGCTTTCTCAGAACACACAAGGTTGGTCAAAATAAAACCACATCTGTTCATTTAGAAATGTAATAAATAAACAGAATCTTGCTAATTATTTCATACCAAAGGTAGCTGAGAAATAGGAGGTAGAGTGAACGGTGATCCAGTGGAGGAGATTTCACTGTTTCTCCTTGGATCTACCTTTCTGAAACCTCATCCAAACAGTCAGGTTATCCTGAGATATTTTCAATATCTATGCTGCTATAAGGTTGGGCTGCTGGAGGACAGGGGGACCATTTTTTCATCATTCTGCTTCCTTCTGTCTCTATTCTCACATTCTGCAGTATTCACCGTGTCTGTGAATACTGCACAGACACAGTGATGGGTGTTCCCCAGCAGGGTGTTCCTGCTGGGGAACACCCATAACCTTATGTTCTCTCATTGTAGCTTCATCAGGTCTTTTTCTTTTGACTTTAACTCCATCCTGGATTGGAATATACTGTAAGCTGAGCTGCTGCCATCAATATCTCTGTCTATAGATGTTTGAGTAAGGGCTGTTTTTTTCCAGTGTAGTCCTGTTTCTTTTACTCCTTCATCCTGCAATTAGAACTGGCTCGGAGCTCTTCTGCCTGGCTGTGTGTTTCCTTCAGCTCTGTGGAGCTAGTTAAAAGTTTCCTTTTGCATATCTGCTTCTTTCTGTAGGTCTACTTCTGTTTCCTTGAACCCCAGTCAGTAACAGTGCAAGGCCGCTCACACAGAGCTTGGTACCACTGGAGGTTTCTTCCTGTTAACAGGGACTTTTTATGCTCCACTGTAGCTGCATAGACGCTCAGCGTGAGGGATTGCTGAAGAGTAAACGTCAAAATGGAAACAAAAATCATTGCTTAAGGCTCATCCAGGAGGAGAGCGTCCTGCAGGCCAATGACTCAATGAAATCCACTATTTTTTTCTTTTCAGAGACAATACAGTCAGAGTGGTTCAAAGTTTCTGTAAAGTGTCTTAAGAGGAAATGTTATGAACTGGTGCTTTATAATTAAACAAAATTTTATTGAATTTACTTAAATTTAATTGAAAAAATAATAAAATATGTCCACTCAGAATGAGATCATTCACCCTGTGGTGGAATTATCTACTCCGCCCGCCCAGCTCTATCCGGCACATTTCAGTAAAACTGTTGTTTACACAAAGAATTCTCTAAATTAAACTGAAATTCGATGAATATGCTAAATTTAGA